ATCCTCCATAATTAAGTTTAAAAGCAAACCCATAAAAAAAGTTAATGACCAAATAAAAGCAAATTAAGAGCAAAACACGTCACATAATATTGAAGAGAAAGAAGTTAAAGAACAGTATAAAGAAAAGAAAATATAGTTAGTAAAGAACAAAATTAAAAAACAAAACTAACAAAAAAAGAAAATGTACCTTTTTAATGCATTAAGATATAATACTGTATTAGAAATTGTAAAACTCGGAAAAATCTAAAGACCTAAAAAAAATATATTAAAAAAAAAAAAGAAAGCAGATAAAAATAATAAATAAATGGATTAATGGAATAGGAAAAGAAAGGAAAATAAAACGAAAAGGAAAAAAAACAAGCGGGAAGGAAAAAATGAAAAAAATAATATAAACAGATAGTTAAGATGATGTAACAATAAATATTAGTCAGCCCAATCAAATTTATTATATGATAAGGGTGAATAATTCATATAATTATATAAAATTTACTTATATAAAATTTACTAGTAGGTTAAATCACCCGGATTAAATCACCTCAGGTTAAAATTAGTTTTATACATAAATTAAACAGTTTAATAAAATAAAAAATTTATTTATATAGTTAAAATTTATTATAATAAATCTTTAGTTTCAGCCATTTTTGTTTACTATTATAATAAATATTTACAAAATAAAGATTTTTTTATATTATTATAACAAAAAAATTCCTTTTAATAAAAGTATTTTATTAATTTTTGATTTTAAAGCTTTAAGAATTTCCAATTTTATATATATTATTGGGTATTGCTAAATATCACCAGTGGTGATCGTCATCACATGTAAAATATTTTTTGAATTTCAAAAATTTTTGACTGAGATATTATTCTAATTATAATATAAAATATCATTATTATATGTAAATTTATGGGTAGAATAAGTTTGCTTTAGATTATAAAGGCTATTGTTTAGATAGTTTTTGAGAAAAATAGGAAAATTTGATTTTATAAGCAAAATACAATTTTTTGTTTTAAAAAAGATTTTTTTTGGTCAAATTTTCAAAATTTTAGTGTGATTAGTATCTACTCAGGTTTGTTTTACACATTTATTATTTAAATTGAAATTTTTGAAAAAAAATTTATGATGTGTTTTTTAACTCTGGCCAAAATTATAATTTTCAGCCAGAATTAAGTGGTGTGGTAACGATCACCACTGGTGATATTTAGCAATACCCTATATTATTAGTAAATTACTAGTAAATTTTAAATTAATAAATTATTTTTTCAAATTTTTTTATTAGTAATAATATTATTTTTAATTTTTATTCTCTTTTATATTATTATTTTTAGAATTTAAAATTATTATATTTATCTTTTAAAATAATTTTACCAAAATTACCAAAATTTCAGTTCTTAAAAATTACCCATTGGTTAAAAGTGTATTTTAAGATAATTAAAAATTTTGCACTAAATTTTAACAATTTCATTAATAATTAATTGTAATTATATAAAAGCTTAATAGAATATGTAGAATTTGGTATACTCATAAAAATTATTTTTTTTTATCTTTATTTTGTTTGTTATAATGCAAAATTTTTATAATAATAATAATAATTTATAATAAATATCCAAATAGAGAAAAAATATAATAAAAAAAGTTTAGATTTTATTATATAAAAATTCTGATACTATTTTTTGCAGTTAATTTCTCATCCAATTTTAATGATCAACTACATATTTAACTTATACAATTTATGGCTAAAATATAGGTTGCAAAATTATTATATAATGATCTGGTTAAAATTAAAGAATTTTTTATAGTATCATTTATCTTAATTTAGAAATTACAGGCAAATTTTCCTGCAATATAATTTAAGGGATAATTATATTTTTTATATAAATAATTTCATTATTATTATTCAATTAGAAAAATAATAAAGTAAAATACTAATCTTAAATTTGTATTTAATAAAGTAATTTATAAATAATATATTTAATGATTTCACATGATATTTACTATAATGAAATAAATTTATAATATATATTTTATAGTATAATTTTTAAAAAATTTACTAAGAATTTATTATTTATCACTAGCAGTATAAATTATTGTTAGTATTACATGATTTTTTAAAGGAAATTTTAAGCAGAATTATAAAATTTGACTGAAATTATAGGATATGATAAATAATGGTAATAAATAAAATTTCTCAATACTGAAAAAATTTCTATATTTATAGAATACATAGTAAAAACAGAAATAAAAAGGGTGTGATGCAAAATTTTATTATAAATTCATAATAGTTTCAAATAAACAATTTCTTAATTCTGGTAAAATGAAATCTATATCATTAAAATAATTTTTTCCAATAAGTAATATGAAAGAACATAAATGTTTTATAGTTATTTCAAAATTTTAATGGCATAAAGATAAAAATAAGTATTTTTTAATTAATAATAATTTATATATATATATATATATATATATATTTCGTATATAACTTGTTCACAAAATAATTTAAAATATATCTACTTAATTAGCAACAAATTGCACTTTACCATTTTCAGCAATAATAGGATCTAGGCAATGCATTTAGGTAAAACTTTAGTAATATAGTTTAATATTAACATGGGGTTTTTTTTAACAAACCTCCAAAATTTGGGATACACAAGTTCAATTAACTTTTAGACATATGATAATTTCAATTTTTATTATTAGTTTTATGTTTTTCTGTATTTTTTTTTTTTAAAAAAGAAACTTTAAAGCATATATATAAAGAAAAAATATGAAGAGAAAATTTTTCATGAAAATATAAACATTAAAAAACGAAGAAAATATACATGATGATTATTAATATATAAAGAGAAGCTATATGTTTTTTACTATATTAAAACTAAAAAAAAAATGAACTATACAAAGATCCCATCTTACAAATAAAACCTATAATTTTTGTTTTGATTTCCCTTTCATAATTTTTTTCTTTGCGGTACAATGAAAATAAAACTTTAAAATCGATCCCCAAACCTCCATAAACCCAATGTCGCGATAAATTTATCAACGGATTAATATGTAAAAAAGAAAGGGTTGAATTGACAACGCCTAAAAAAAAAGGATCCGTTTCACAGGGGATGCTAATCAATATTAAATTAAATTATTATTGATTCGCGCTAAAATTAACGTGTAATTAATAAAAAAATAATTTTTCACAATCATAAAAAATTGTGTATCGAAATTGTATGGCACCCTTTCGTGAACGACCGAGTTATTAATTATGGAGGGAGGAGAAGTTGAGAAAAATAAAATAAAATAGATGGGTAATCGAACAATTAGTCATATGGATTTAAAGATGAACCTTCCCTGAAGAGCAAGTAATAATTATGTTGATTATTTTGACGAAAAAATTAAATTTTCGATGAAACTATTAAGAGTCGTTGGATAATTTAAAAAACGTCGAAAATACTCTTGGGAGGTAAGTCTACATGAACCCATATTTTTATTCGTGCATGGTTCTAGATAAATAAATCATTATAGATCGAATTGGATTGTGAAGATGGCTTCTTCACATTTTAAAAACATTTCCGCTGTTAAGTTGAACTTGTATTAAACAAACAAGCTGCGGTTATTAAAAATTTTTCGCGAAAAAAAAAGCCCTTGGTAATATTCAAGAACATTAAGTTGAAAGGAAATCATTGTAAGTATGGGTGGACACTAACCATGCCGAAGAATCAAAAAAATCGAATAAACAAGGATTTATATAACGTTTGAAACATACCTCCCTGAAAAAAAAGCCACCGCTTTCGTAGTACTAAGGTTATGCATCAAACTTTAAAGGAACAATAAGAAAACGCCAACAAGTCAAGGGGCAAAGCGCTCCATGATATTAGATTAGGTAATTTAACCAAACATGTACCTAAACTTGTCAGTTGAATGAAAATAAGATCTTAGATTTGGCAAAGTCAAAGAAGATCAAATGTGCACAGTCATTGATTATTGTACTTTGTATGATTATAATTTTTTTATAATTAGCACTTTTTAGTTAGTAATCGGCAAAAATTTTAATTGTGTGTAATGTTACTATACGTTTATAATAAAATCCTTAATAATAATCAAGTTTGGTCATTCCAGTTCTTTTTACGCAATATTGATGATGGAACCAATACATTCTGCAGAAAGTTTCTTGAAAGGATAATTATCGTATAAGATTATCGTTATTCCGTTCCTTTTCCTGTATTCACCTGTTTGACATTTATTAAACAATAATGCAAATGCAACGCATTTAGTGATGTAAATATTAATGCATTCTTTTATTTGCAATTCTAGCATAATCAAGAAAATAGATAACGCTGAATAGATTAAAATCTTGACGCCTCATTGGAGATTGCGTAATTATCGACATTGATATTACAGCGACATTTGATAATACTATTTTGGGTAGACCTTAAATGGTGAACATCAAATTTTCTGTCAAATATATTCCAAAAGAAATTAAGAAATAACGCTGTATAAATATATCGTTGAAATGAATGAAAAGAACATCTTTAAGAACTTATTTTTTATATGAATGAAAGCATCATGATCACATTGATCGATTTTATAAACGATTATAATTTAGAGTGCAGTAAGTATGATATAATAATGGGATACATTCAAATGACGTATAATAAACAACTAAACTAAACTAAACCAAACAGTAAATGAATGAATGCCACAATGTCTTCCTTTTATATTTTTTAAAAAAAAAAATATTTATATTGTATGTTTCACAAGCTCTTGTTCTGCCATCGTGTAACAGCTGCCAGATAAAATTCTATTCAGGCGAGATAGAGTAAAGAATCGCAACTAAATGGAATAACAATATTTAATTCTATCGACAAGCAGTTTTGGTCATGCTTAATGAATGAATAGTCCGATCTAAGTCCAATTGATCCAATAGCCATCATTGCCAACAAATTATATCGAATATTATCGATAGCCATTTTTTTCTAAAATATCAAGTTTAAATTTAATAATCAATTATTTGTTAAAATATATCCTTCAATCATGCAGTTTATTATTCTTGCAAAACCAATGTTAAAGTTTTGATTCATAAACATAAAATTAATATTATTTAAAAATTCCATAAAAATTATAAATCAACTTATAAATAAAGCAAATTGAAAGTATCCTATCGGTAAAAGTAATTTTGCGAAATCTAATTAGAAGCAAATAAAAGATTTTAAATAATATCACGTAAAATTTTTTTTTTTTTGATTATAAACGAAATGATTTTGAAGTAAAACTTACATTATATATAAGTTTTTTTTTTTTCTTAAAAAGAAACTCCTATAGTAATTGTAAATTCTTAATTTGTTTTCATATTATAAAGCATATACCGGTAACTTTGAAGTTTTTTTAGTTATATCCGAAAAATCTTCGTATAATAGTTTTAACCATTGGATTTAAAATTTCGGGTTCATGTTGATAAGCAGCCTATTAAATTTTTAATTTTGATTAACATTTAATTCTAAACAAATCCCGAAATAAAATTTCTACTTACCATAATTATACTCATTGCTAAAGAAAAGAACCATACATCCGCTGTTTTATGTAATTCAAATATCCAATTTCTTTGACACATAATTTTATACCAGGATTCTGCGGCTTTGGGTAATACATATAAAGCTAAATTAACTCTCGTATTTCTATTTTCGATTAAAATTGCAAATGCTGAATTAAGCCCAGCCAGCCAGTATAAGTATTTAGAATCCCATTCCAAATTGAAAATTTTAATCATGTTGCGATGAAAGCATATTTGTGTTTGATAACTTGCTACAAAAGTGGATATAAAAGTGCTTGACCGAATCGTGTTAAACATGCTTTTTTTAATAAGCGCCATGGGACTAATAAAAAGAGGGAAAATAATGAGAAAATTTCACATAAATTTAAAACAAGATTAATTATATAAGTAGAACATACTCTTCAGTCAATTGTGCTGATTTGAATGCTATCATTGGAACAAAATTAAGTGTAGCATATACTGGTGCAATGTTTCTAAAAACTTGATAAAACCGCTCAATGTTTGTATATATACAAGAATCGAATTGAGGATGTATAAGCTCACTAAAAAAGATACGCGTCAACAAGAATTTTAATATAAACCAAAAATATGGCAATATTATTTAAATTTACCAGGGAATTGCAACAGGTCGTGGAGGTAAATTCGAAGCTATCTCAAGGGCATTCTTCGTTCCATTAAATTTTTTAACGAGGTTAATCGCATCATCATTATTTAAAGGTAAACCTTTTCTCAATGATAGATTAATATTCAATGTTTCTTTTGGAACACGTGCTGTAGCTATCATAAAATTCAAGAAGTCTTTTGGTATAGTGGTAGGTCGCATCTACAAAAAAATAATTCTTGTCAAGGTCTAACATAATGAGGATAATTGTTTAATATTAAAAATATTAATACCGTATATGCATAAAGAACTTGTGCAGTCGATATAATGAATATTAAGGAATCCCCATGAGGAATTCGAAAATATTCACGCGCGCTACCTGCATTATAAACAGCTTGTAATGCGCTGAATTTGAATTTGAAAAAGAAATATATAAATGAAATCAAAGGCGCAGAATAACAGAACAAGGAACCATTAGACTAACCGAACAAATAATTGTTGCGCAATAGAAATTCTTCTCTCGCGTTTTTCTGCCAATATCGATGTACCGGCAATAAAACCTACAAAATGTTCGTACATCTCACAATTTGAACATTAAATATTATTAAAGATGGAGACAAGCTTTAAAGGTAAAATACCGGCAATTAATCCATTCCAATGATCATCTTTTTTTCGAATATACCGCAATCCATTATTAATAAGCTTCCATAAAAATGAAAATCCACCAAAACCTACGCCAAATCGCACGGCGTCCATTCCGAAAAATCCATGGATAAACGCATGATATATAGATCCTTTTCTATAAGAAATTTTGTGTTACACAAATCTTCACGCAACTTTAAAAAATTTTCCAAGAACATCAAATACCTTTTCCGGAATACTGTTAGTAAATTTAACAGGAAATTTACACCCCCACGAATACCATGCGCCTTTGCATATGATTCTAAATTTTTTTTGCAAATACTTAATTTATTATCAATATAAATACACAAATAATAAACACTGAAACATACCAAGACCTCCAATAATGGAATGCAAAATAATCTTTTTAATTGTATTTGGTTTGTTTTGATGGTCTTTATTAGATAATGCTGCATTTACATCTTCTCGAGTTACAATATGTGACATCATAGGCAAATCGTGCGGTTAAAAAAAACATGAAAAAAAAATGATTTTCTACATGTGGGATGAGAAACAAATAAGCCATTTTATATACCAAAGAGATCGATAATAATACTGAGCTAAAAGATTGTAATGTTGTGTGACTTTTCTTTCTTTTATAACCGTTTTCTCCTAAGGTTACAAAATTATTTTGTCGACACCTGATTTTAATGCAAACATTACCAAAATTTGGGGTAGCATTTTTTTGGGGGAAAATTTCAAGAAAAGTTTTAATCCGATGAGTATTCGATGCTATGTAAATCATTGATACCGTCTTACCACGTTTGATTGATTGACGCTAATTCATTTTGTGTCAATGGGAATGCTGATCTATTTTCCCCAAAAGAAAAAAAAATGGTTCGAAAAAAAATGGTTCGTACAACATTTAAATTTTTTATTTATTACGTAAACAAATCGTGCGCTAAGATTATCATTAACCAATCAGCTAACGAACGCAAAAGCCATCACATGACATATATAAGACTAAAATTTAAGTATCGAAATAATTAACAATGTCTTCTATTAGCGATGCGGCAATTGTTGAAACCTTCAGATATCTTGAAAATGGAGGTTGTGTAATACAGAGGCCCAACCTGGTATAATAATTTTTTTTAAAAGTAATATATCCTACTTATACATGTTGTTGATCATAGTTTTTTTGCAGAAATATGAGCTTTTCTTACCTTACATTCTGAAATATTACACACTCGATGAAGTTTCTTTTTTAAAAGCAAATTATACTCAGGTAAAAAAAATCTTCATAGTTATTACAAATAGCAAACAATGATAAGATAATAAATTGTTTGTTACTTTTGTAGATATTAACTAAGAAAGAATATACAAATTTTTTTTAGGTTGAGTTAATAAAGAATATTCTAACAACAATAAACAGGGATGATTTGATTAGAGACGTAGAAAGACAAATAAGCCAAAACCAAACATTATTGGATGTTATATCAGAGGTATGGATAAGTATCTTTAGAATTATTTGGTAAATTGATGTTATTTATTTTCTAATATATATTTTTTTGTATAAAGGGAAAAATAGTGCCTCAGAGTCAAACTCATACGCCCGGTTATAATGATCACGAACTTATTTTAAAGTAGACATATAACTTATTTTATTATATATAATTGATTGTTATTGCTTATTGATAAATCAATGAATATAATTTCTAGACTAATTTTACGGGATTTGTCCGACCTCGTAATATTAGCAAAAGCGAAGTACGAACAAAACCCAATGAGTGTTCAAAAATGCTGTGATATCTTACATGCGAATAGATTTTTGCAAAATCTCAAGAAAGAATCTTTTAGTAATATCGATTATTATTTGCCAATCATATTGTATATTTGGAAACCGATAGAGCTTGGGATTACCTATGAGGTGAGTAGTTATAGTTTGGTAGTTATTTTTAATAAATTAATTCCTTTTTTATTCAATTATTTTTTTTTCCTGTGATTTGTAAGTAGGATGTAATTCGCGCCTTACCTCTCTTAAATAATTGTGATGATTTGATTAGATGTTTAGTCGCCAATAACCCGCAAATGTTTCATAAGGTAAATAATATGCACTTATACATCAAGACTTTATAAGCTTTTTTTTTCTCACAATTATTTTAATATTCTTTAGATCACAGATATTATTTTACAAGTTCACAAATATTTTCCATTTAAATATAAAGAGCGCATCAAGTTTGTCATTAAAAAACTTTTTTTTTTTTTTTTTTTTTATCTCGATTTCAATGATTATAATATTAATTTATACTTCTTTATATAAAGAAACATGTTGTATACTATGGTTAATCTTGCAACACATCACGCCTTTAACATGCGACTTAAATTGATAGATTTGAAGATACTGCCAGAAGTTGTGTTAAGATTTACGATCATTTGTTCAGATATCGTATGTGTTTTACGTATATATTTTTTTTTAGGATTCTAACTTCTCTTATTTATAATTTCACTTTATTCCTAGGTACTATGTCTTGAAGGTATTTTGTCACGAAATCCTAAGTGGATAACATCGCAACAAATACCGCAGAGTTTAATAAACGAATTAAAAACTGTCTTATTTGGAACCTTGCGCAACTGTGTGGTAATATAACAGATTCAATTCGTGTTCTAACGTTGGTTCAATAGTTCCTGGTTCAAATTTTATTTCTTTTTTATTTATTTATAGAATAATGTACAACAGCCATTATCCCATCATCGAGCAAGACTGTGTATATTAATGCGGATAATTTGCGGATTCGTGCATTTTTTCAAAGTAAACTTTGATCCAAGCGATTTAGAAGTTTGCTTAACAGTCATAGATCATGCCGGATCAGACAGGTATGAATTTTTTAACACTGTCCCTTTTATTAATTTTAATTTTATTAATTTACCTTTCTACAGGCTTAAGAAATTATGTTTATGTTTTCTGCTATTATGTTCTGAAATGTTGATTAAAACGAACAGGGTAAATAAAATATGCTTGTTATAACTTTCTTATTTGAATGTTTTTTTAACAAATTTATCATCTTTTACTCAGTTATTACTTGTAAGTTCCTTTGCCAGAATAGTTAATCCTCGTAATACGCAGTTATTCTTGATATTTGCTTACTTTTTCCGAGCAAATCAACTCGATCAAATATCAAAAATGTGTGTTTCGACTTTGGCTATGGATGTTGAAATATGTATGTATAATTTTATACAAATAGTTAAATTCGCGAATTAATTATTATATCAATGTTTTTAGCCGGTTATGGATTAGTTGAGTTAAGAATCGCTACGAAGGATACCCTTTTCTCTGAAGTAACATTAGCTAAGAGTGCTTTGGAAATAGAACCGGATACTTTTGATGGGTTGGGAGTAAGTTTCAATTTGTAGTTAATGTAAACGATCTTTTCATTTAAGGAATGATTTGAATTATTACATATATATACAAACAATTCTTAATTATTCCTTCACTTATGTAGCTGGCAAAAGACCCGAGCGATATTGCTTTTAATGTCGTTTACGTTATGTTAAAAGGTGGAGTATTTCATAAAGGTAAGACAGACTTAAGACCTTGGATAATACGACAAATAACGCAAGCGACAACTCCTATCCACTCTCAGTTGGGACCCTTAATTAAGACATATACTTCTTGGTTAGATTTCCTTTAATTGTTGCGGTAATATTACTTAAAAAAAAATCAATGATTAAAATATTTACCTATTTTATATAGCATATTCGATTATGGGATTGCATATTCAGCTTATCCAACTCCCATGACAAAGATTCCGGAACTTTATATCTTCACATTTTTCCGAGAGAGAATTGACAAAATTTCTCCAGCGCATGTTCTTTTATTTTATTATGTTCTCCAATTTAATACATTTGCAAGAGAACGAAAGTCGATTGGAGGTCAAGCATCATTACAAAAAACAAGTATGCGTAAAATCAAACTTAGAAGCTTTAAAATATGAATCAAAAATTATTATTGACCAAATTTTGATAGTTTACTCTTCCAATTTACCTTATGCTTCGGATCTTATGGAATCAATTCCTGTTCGAAGAATACTAATTGAAGCGGAAAAATGTGACAATGGGCTGGCATATCGTAATATTTATCCTGAACTTCTTGGGCTCGTTGCCTCAAATTATCCCGAAATTTTTGACATTGAAAACCTCCTGATCGAAGAAGATCGCTTGTCAAAGTAATTATTAATTCTTTTACTTGTCTGCTATTTGAAGAATAGGTATTCAATTTTCATTATAATGTTTAATAGGTCTTCGAGGCAGAATCAATCAGTTGTTAAAAATTTTGTACAATTAATCATTTCAAATTTAACGGAAAACCCGGAAGTGTCTATATCTGGTATTCTTTTTTGAATGTATTGAAGTTATTATTTATAAAAATATACATGATAATATTTAATATATTCTGATTCGATAATTTAGCCTTGAAAACTTTGGAATCTATGGAACCGGAGGATTTGTTAATTCATTGTAATCAACTTATACTAGATTTATTACCGAGAATAATTCATCAGTTTGTATCTGATTTGTTATGTTTTTAGATCTTTTTACTCTCAGCTAAGAAAATTTAACTCTTATATGTATAGGGGGAATCCCAGAATAATACAATCTGTCTACCAAATTTGGTTATCGCTTTATAGTATGAGTCCTCATGAAGCATCTCTATTATTTATAAACGCAACTAGAGGACAAGAAGATCAGGGAATAAGGTGGTTATTTTATTAAATAATGATTGTTTGTTTGTGTACAAGCTTATTTAGCTTTAAATTTTAGATTTACGGAATTACAGCTTATGATGGATCCATTACTGGTTATACGCTGTGATCCTCAAGTCTTTAGATGTCCCTCAATTTTTAAAATTTTTATTAAAGTATTTAATAGATTATATTATTCTTAAGCAATTGGCTAGCTTGCTATATTTATGAATTTTTTTTTTTTTAGGTTTTAAAATTTTTTATGAAAGGTTCCCGATCTAGGTTGAGTCGATTGCAACAAGATGAAAATGAATATTTGAAGGTAATTCCTTATAAATATTGAATCAGTTTATAACTCTTGTTTATTAGGATAAAGTTATTTATATTATTTATTTATTAGGATCGGGTTACACCCGAAAAGATGGATAAATTGATACTAGTTCAAGAGATTTCATTGATGAAAATGTTACTTGAAGTTTGCGAAACTAAACTAAAAGATAATTCCGGTACAATAATAATAATAACATATTAATATATTAATATATATTTGTAAAAAATGAATTAATTCTATATTTAATAGATGTATTGGAAGAAATTAGAAACATAACATTTAGTTTTCTTCATGAGCTATTTATCGAAAACACGATGTTATGTAAGGAGCTACATTCTGAGGGTTATTCGTTTGAATTAATACCTTTGACAACGCGAAAAATTGAGTCAATGCGTAAGTGTTTATGGTTTTTTTTAGTAACCAACATTTAAAATAACAATTTTATTTTTAATGTAGATATGTGTATAATTTTCGCGCCTGAATTGATTAAAGATGAAACTAGTCCCAAAAGACAATTGTTTGGACTATTTTTGGGTAGTCAATTATGCGAAGTTTGGCCCATGGAACAAACGTAATATTCTCTATTTTTACGTCATTTTTGATCAGAAGTGGTGAATAATTTCTAAAGGTTCCGTCTATATTCTTATTAGATATAAGCTTGCAAAAGATCATATAATAGAAAAAATAAAAGAAATTTCTTTTAAAACGAACGAGAAGATATTATCTGAAGAGGCAAAGAAAGTTTTACCGATTTTAGTCCTTATTTTTAATGTCTTCCCGAATTTGCGCAGTGAGATTGTGCGAATATTAAGAGGTAAAATAAAATTTTCTCTTTAATTTGTATAATTGCGGATGATTTTTAATTGCGATATTTAAATTATTAGCATTAGAAGAGAAATTTAAGCCACATAAAGGGCATGCTATCACGTTCGGAATGAAAAGGGGATCGGAAATATTTATTGCTCAATTATTAGAACAGGTTCGTGAGAAGCCCACAAGTTCATCTAAAGTTAAGAAGAGAAAAAAATCAGAGAATTTTAAGGGTAGAAGTATAACATTTGAGAAATGAGTAATTTGGATTTTAAATGAGAAGAAACATATATATAGGATTAACTTAAATTGTAGTGTTTTAATAAAAAATTTTTTTTAAATTTATAATTCTGTTGTAATTTCCAAGATATATTCTGTAATATCCCATATCGTATCAAGGACGGTTAAGGTATCCAAGATTATTTTTTTGTCGATAATTCATTTTAACACGGTTATCACTGTATAAATTAGGAATTCTCATGTTTTAGACAAATACTGTAATATAGTATATCATTTTGCAGATTAAACGATTTATAGCGATTTTATCGATTTAATCAAGATAAAACAGATTCATTGTTTTTTGTGTTAGTTTTAGAGAAAATGTAATCACGTCATATGTTCTGTGTACTATTTACGTATAGACTGAGAATACGTCGACTGAGCACAGGACATTCATAAACACGTTAAAAAATCACAAAGTCCGGTATGAGGACAACCATATATGACTAAACAGCAGTTAACAAAAAAAAATCCAACTTATTAGGTATGTGTAATAAAAATATAAAACACTATATACCATTAATTTATGGAAAATTTTCTTTGGTGTGAATTGTTCCTCATTTTTTAGGGTCCGTACTCCCTTCAATTACAAGAGAGGTGCTCAGTAGACAACATAAGTCGATCAACTTTTAGCTAGTTAAATTTTTTCGTGCATTTTTCTGTACAAGAAAAAGCTTAGTTGGTACAATAAACACAGAGTACATTGAGAGATTATTTTTATTATGAAAATTTATATATTTAGAAAGTATACCGCGTTGAGATTTCTGCAACAACTTAATATGAAAGGTTTAATAGTATTAATTTGTAGTTGCTTGACAGCACAAACTTGCTTGGTTAAGTTATAGTAGTCAAGAGGGATAACGCTCAGGATTTAATTCGACACAATAAGATGTGGAAGAGCACCCATAATTTGTACTCTAGGCATCCGTACAATTTTAGGCGTATTGCTATAATAGCATTATAGCAACTCCAGGATTTCATTCGACCCGATATTAAGGGTGGAAGAGTATCCTATAAATGTGTACACAAATCTTTTAATTCTAAGATTAAAAAACTTACTTTTGATTTCGTTATCTCGTAAATTCTATAAAGTATATGAAATTGATTATCAAAGACCACGTGCTGTGCTATGTTACCGTTTTATTGGTCAGTCTATTTTATAATATGATTGGTAAATAAATATAAGGTATTTTCAGATTAATATTAAAAATCTTCACAATTGAATAACTAGTAACAATAATTATAAGTATTCCATCGTATTATTTATACTCTTGGAGCTTGATCTTACCTGGTATGACTTTTATGTGTTTTTACCTACCAAAAATTTCCTCTTCAAGTCATCACCTGTACACATTATTATACACCAGTACGAAGATTCCGTAACATGTACAATTTTGATAATGGAAATAGTTTAGATATAAAAATCAAAAGTGATTTTGACGATGATGATAATATTGAAAGATACTAATATAGAAACAATTTAAAAATCCAATAGATCAATATTTGGAAATAAATGATAATGTTGAAATTTTTGATGTGTAATATAAGAATAATTTACTAAGAATAATTTACTACGTCACATTATCATTCTATGAAGTTAAAAGTGTTGGCGCAGTAACAATAGCCCTATAAATGGTTGATAATAAAACGGGTAGGATATGTAATTAAAATACCATCATCAAACACATTGCAAAAATTATAACATATAAAAATATTGCAACTTAAATTTTATTTGTTAACACGTTAAAATTAAAAGTGAATTTACAATATAAGAGAGAATAATACATCAATATCTAATTAGTAATTAAGAATTTAACTACTAGCTTGTTCTTTATAGTTGCGTAAAGCAACACTGAGACGACGAGCGGAATCAGCACCTAAAAAGAAAGATGTTCGTGTTAATAATTAATAAGTTTTAATTAAAAAAAGAAAAAATCTAGAACTTACAAGCTTTACAATGATCGGCGCTATGCTAAATTATTATTTAAAAAGAATATAAGTAATTGCGATTTTTTTTTTTTAAAAAAACACGAAACAAATACAAACCTTTCCGCTAAGGATATAGAATAAATAAATTAAACACATGTGAGTTTTTTAACTGGGAAATGATAAAAGAAAAGAAAATTTTGGTGTCTATCTTACCAATGATCAGCACAAGTTTGAGCAGAGTTCATGGTTAATTCGATCATACTATCCAATTGAGGGGCGTCAATTGACAACAATTGAGCGGTACAAGAAGCCAAAGCTAATTATAAATAATATTGATGAGACAATTGAGAAAATACTTTTTATATCTCTTAAAACTTCAGTTTATAATATACCTGCGTTGGCACGACATTTTTTTGAACATCCTTCTTGACCAGCCATCTCAGCACAGTTCTAAATGAATTAAAATTTAAATTGAAAAAAAAAAAAGAATCAATGAATATATAGAAAATTCAATTCATACTTACAGTACAAGCGGCGGCACTTTCAGCACTAAATTACAAAATAAAAAAAAAAATTGGTTAAAAAACCGTTATATATAATTCTCGATTCAAACAAAATAGCAAATTATTATTTACCAAGCTTTAATAGAGTCAAGGTGAGGCATTTTGAATCAATTGAATATAGTTGAATATAATTGAATATATAATTTTTTTTGAAAAATCTGTGAATTCGAGAGTGGGAAACCTTTCCTTTGGGGCTTTTAATTTATATATTTACAAAAATTATAACCTGATATAATAATGATGTTAGTATATGAGAAACTTTTAATTTTTTTAAAAAATCTATTACATCATTCATCTGGTAGGGTACTTTATTTATCACCATGTCACACCCACTTAAGTCATGACTTTGGAAAACTTATTTGATGTTAATCTGACACATCCTCGTTCGTTTTCCATACTTTACTACTTTAGTCAGAAAATTAATGAGCTCTTTGCTATTTAATCTAGATCATATGAAACGTAGGCGTTTAAAAAAATTAAATGGATTATCTAATTAATTATTATAATTATGGTACGCCCTTTTCAGTTGACACTATTCAAAATATGGTATACATTATCCTAATAAATTAATAAATCTATATTTTTATGATTTAAAAAAGATCGGAAAACGTTATATAATATGAATACCATGATTTTCACGCGCGGCCGTGCGTAATTATTACTATGTTCACTTGATATTATTAGTATGAAATGTCACCTGACGCATGAAATGCCCAAAAAATTCACATAAAATTCACATATTTTATTTCAGATGTGCCACAAAACCATTTACTTTTTACTAATTCACATCTTTTAGCGTGCGGCTCTGATATGCATGCAGTAAATCCATAAAAATAGTTTACTTCACTTTACTGTTACTATTTTTGATACCTCAAATTTGGAACTTACATTGCATTTTATAAAAAAAAATTAATGTTGTTTTACAAATACTTTAATCTCACTAAGTTTGTTGTGACTGATGAAAGAAAATAAAAAATTAACTTTGACGGTTTTCAATTCTCAAGACTTCAAAAATAAATAAAATACATCGTTATTAAAAAGTTGCATTTATACTTCAAATTAAATTAAATACATGAAAAAACGCGTATATAAACTATTTTATCACGGGAGCGGGATTACTGCCTAACTACCCGAAAGCCCGTATGACATTCAATTGAATTATACCCATTTATTGGAACTAGAGGAGGGCGTAAGAGTTTATTTCGTATACAATTCAAAATTATATGTAATCACCTTAACTTTTTCGAGGAGTTAACCTTGGAAATGGTCAAATTATTGGATACCTTATCCTTTAAACTTTCAAAAATGCAAATCTTTAATAAATTCAATTTTTACATCGCATTTTTATTGGCGTAACCTGTACGACTTAACTCGTTGGAATATTACCTTGTAATTTGTTTAACTTGCGTCTTAAAATGCTCGAATATTAATTTATTTGTTATTTTACTATAAGAAAAAAAACTTTTTACATATATTTTAGCACACTGTACATATGTATATATATATATATAGTGTATATAACACTAAGATATTCTTTGAAAGAAAATAATTTAATTTCTAACAATACTTCTTCTACATAACTAAATATTAAACCTGAATTTTTTATTATAAAAAGGTAAAATATTTAAAGGATATGAAAAATATAAAGTTAGAAAAATAAATTGTATTTTTTAATATAATTTCATTTATTAAATTAATTTTTTTTGTGACTAAATAAAATAAAAGATGATAAAAAAAAAAAAAAAAAAAAAAAAAAAGAAGCAACAAATTTTGGTCACATGTACATATATTTACATTATTTCCATGTGAGAAATTTGTAATTTCAAAATTGGTGATTTGGCGTTAATTTATTGCCTTTTTTGAAAAATCTGAGTACCAGACCATTCAGCCTAAAATGCGGGTATATACGTAGTATAATCAATAAACGGTGATGGTCATACTATTTTCCGCAGTAATCTGCGCAAAAATATGAAAAGTTGTTAAGACGTTATTCCTTTTGCGGAAATGATTTCCGAATATAAAATCTGCATGCAACGATAAAAAATTTTTTTTTNCCGTATTTATTTTGTATTTATATTAAAATTTTAACAATGGTTGAAAAAAAAAAAATGATTTCGGAAAAATTTATCAAAAAAAAGCAAAAGAAGCAACAAATTTTGGTCACATGTACATATATTTACATTATTTCCATGTGAGAAATTTGTAATTTCAAAATTGGTGATTTGGCGTTAATTTATTGCCTTTTTTGAAAAATCTGAGTACCAGACCATTCAGCCTAAAATGCGGGTATATACGTAGTATAATCAATAAACGGTGATGGTCATACTATTTTCCGCAGTAATCTGCGCAAAAATATGAAAAGTTGTTAAGACGTTATTCCTTTTGCGGAAATGATTTCCGAATATAAAATCTGCATGCAACGATAAAAAATTTTTTTTTTTTTTTTTTTTTTTTTTTAATAATTTTTATGCGTTTTAATATGGAAGAATCTCGTGAACAAAAAGAATTTATTCATTGGTTAACAGAAAATGGAGCCATCTTCCCGAAAATAAAATTTATCAAGAATGGAGTATATTCTACTGACATAATCAATGAAAATAATGAATATGAAATTTTTGCATCAATTCCATTTTCAATCATAATTAATGATAAAATTGCTAATAAAAATTTACCATATTTAAAAGATTTATCATCATCAAATTATTATTCTTCATTAATAATTTTTTTAATACATGAAAAATTATTAGGAGAAAAATCTTTTTATTCCCCTTATATTAATATTTTACCTAAACATATTAATTCATTATTAAATTATGATGAAAATGAAATAAATTATTTATTAAAAGGTACTGATATTGAAAATTTTGTTATTGAAAGAAGATTACAATTAAAAAATTGTTATGAAGAAATTTTGGAACGTTTACCATCAGATGGATTATTATTAAAAGAAAAAATGACTTGGTAAATATAAATTATTTTTTTTTTACATTTATTTATTTAAATTCTTTTTTTTTTTTTTTGAATTAATTAAATTAATTTTTATTTCACTTTAGAATAATTATTTGTTATTTTATAGGGAATTATATTTATGGGCACATAGTATTGTAACTTCCCGTTCTTTCCCTAACAGATTTATTGATCCTGATGATCCTGATCCAAAAGAAGTTTTGATCCCTTTAGCTGATTCATTAAATCATAAACCTAGACAAAAAATCACTTGGGAATTCTCTGATGGAAATTCTATGCAATTGATTGCAGGGGAAACTATTGAATGTGGTAAAGAAATTTATAATAATTATGGTCCAAAGGTGCGTAATTTTGATTAAACATTTTTATTAAAGATTTTATATTAAAAAAGTTTTCTTTTTCTCTTAATTTCTCTTAAAAGTCAAATAGAGAATGTAAGTAACTTTATATTGTCAATTTCAATTTTTTTAAAAATTATTAAATTATTTTATTTTTTGTTTAGTATTAATTGCTTATGGATTTTGTATTAAAGATAATCCGGATGATTGGGTAATGATCAAATTAAATTTTGATCAAGATCCTGATAAGGATGAAAAATATGAAATTTTAGAAATTACTGATTCTTTAGATTTTACTCATTTTATTAAAAAAGATTCTATTCCAGATAAATTATTATCTCAATGTAGAATTATTGAATTAAATTATTTAGAAACAATTTATTTTCAACAAAATTTTAAAAATTCTTATCAAGAAAGAGGAAATGATTTATTTAATTTTGTCGGTTATAGAAATGAAATTTCTATGCTTGAAATTTTATTGATGTTATTAAATAGAAAGTTGAATACCATTATAGTTAATGAACAAAACCAAGTTAATCAAGATGATGAATTATCACTTCACGTTAAAATTTTTAGAGATGGTACGTACTAACGTTTATTTAAAAAATATCTTTTATTTGCGTTTATATAATAAATATTTTTTACTTGTATATTTAAAATACAGATCAAAAAGAAATCTTGAAGAGTGTTATATCAAAGATACAATCTCTTGAATTAAAGGTTCTTTCTCGTGCTTTGGATGATTTTAAAGAAAATAGGCTATCTAAACCACCTTTCTTATTTAACAACACAATAAATGAATTTATTATGGATAACTCATTATTATTCGAAAATAATAATAATGATTACTTTGAAATTAAAGAAAATTTATTAGATTCTTTATTAATAACTTCGGATAAAGCAATGAAGATGGATCAAGAATTTTCAAAAGTTATTCACAATATATTTGATGATGAACTTTTGGAAACTGAAGATGATATAGTATTAATATTATTTTTAATTCATGAAAGTAATAATAAAAATTCATATTGGAAAAATTTCTTTGATGCGGTAAAAGATTATAAATTTGTTTTGATGTAAGTAAATTTTACATATTTATAATATATATATTTATACAAAATTTAATTCTTTAAAATTTATATGAATTTTTTATTTCCAAAAAGGAATGATGGAGATGAAAAACAAAAATTACAAGAATTGAACGAATTTTATGAAAATTTATCACAATCAATATTTTCCAATGATTTACCTAATGATTTATTTTCAAAAGAAATTTTTACCTTTGAAAATTTTGTTTGGGCATCAAATTTATTAGATAGTTTTCAGATTAATTTGGAAAATAAGAGGGGTAAAAAATTTTTAGGGATAATGCCATTGTAATTATTGTAATATTGTAATCTTTTTTTTTTAATAAAATAAAAAAGTAACTTGTATTAGTGAATAGTGATATTCCCAAAATTGATACAAAAAAAGAACATATATATAAACAAATAAATGGTATTCAATATATGATTACTGCTTATGATAATTTATATTTTTTAAAGATAAGGCGAATATTGAATAATAATTTACACAATTCTTTCTTCTTTCGTCTTGGTTATATACTTTTTTTTGAATAATCGATTGGCTGCGCAGAATATCTTAATAAAAAAATTCTTCTGAAACATTGTCAAATTTGTAGTGATGCGGATGATTATGATGTGATTATTCAACTAATTCAAGTCGGTGAAGAAGAATCTGATATAGAAGATTTCAAAGTACATTCTAATATATTAAGTATTAGATCAACATATTTTAATGCTGCTTTATCATCTAATTGAGTAAAAAAAGATGTAAAAATTATTATATTTAAAAAACCAAATATTTTTAGAATTAAGATAATTCTTTACTATTACTCATTAAAAAATAATAATTTTCAAATGGAAGAAATTAAAATTTGAGATAATTTATTAAAAATGGACTATTAAAAGAATGATTCAAATATTATTATTATAAATAATAATACAACAATTTGAAAAATAAAGAATTTGGAAAAAGTAAAAGGCAAACTCTTTTTAGAATTATTGTGTCTAATATTTTCTGACAGAAAAATACTGAAGGGTATATTACAAAGAAATAGAAAATATTTTATTTTATTTTAATTTATTACTGTTATTGCTTTTACTAGATACTAACTGTTTATGCTTCAGTGTTAACATTACTAATTATATAAACCTTAGCAAATTTTCTTTTATTTTTAAAGGTTCTTATATTATTGACAAAATTTTTTTAGATGAAAATAAATATAGAACCTTTGTAGAACTTGCAGGTCTATTCATATTACATGATGAATATTTGCTTGCATAATATCTTGAAAATATCAAAATCACGTTAGTATTTTAGATAAAAAGAATGTAAATGTCTTTGATGAATAACAACCAGAAAGCTTTATACACATATACTACCCTCCCAAAAGTATCCGGTCAACCAATAAAGATCATATTTTATTAATAATAATTAATATTTAGTTGGCCATCCATTGTTTTTAATGCATGCTTCAATTTAGCGTAGCATGCTCTCAATTAAATTAATTTAAGTTTTGGATGGAATTCTTTCCCACTCTTCTTTAGCTGTTAATCCAGTCATGTCCTAAAATTTCCAAAAAGTACCATTACAGATACGATTGTTTGATACAAAAATTTTAATCCTAATAGCTTCATGTCCTTTCTAAAGGCCAATAATTTGCCCACGCTCACTCAATTCACTAGTTTTTCCCATTTTAAAAGTAGCCGAATGGCGTAATAACAAAAAAAAAGCAAAGTTTGGCGTTGGCAAAAATTGAGGCGTTATTATTTTTTTATTGCCAAATCTGGTACAAGTATCATAACACAATAAAAATACATTCATTTTAATCGTTAGAACCAGGGGAATTATTTTTTTTTAAAAAAAATAATACTTTATATATTCAATCTTGAGAAAATCAAGTTGAGCTTGACCGGATACTTTTGGGAGGGTAGTGTATTTATTATCAAAACAAAAAGACTTAAACAATTCACCAATTAGAAATTTAGAAATCAGGATTCTATATTATATAATAATCTTAATATTAATTTACCTCCTGATTGTATATACAATCTAGTCAATGATAATGCAGATATTATATCTGTTAACTCAATAGATACATAAAGTTGTATAACATCACTAGCTAAGTCACTTTAGTCATGTGAGAATAGTAACTATGTGATAAAAGATACAATACTGATGAACAATAAGAAACAGAAAAATAAGATTAAAAATTCATGTTTTTTTGATATGCCAGATGTGAATAAATTTTGACAACTAAATAAAGATAAAGTACAAAATAACTTTTGCAGAAAAATTATATGGAAATAGAAATTTAGTTATTAAAGAATTCTAAATGCATTGATAATGATACTCTAATAAAAGATGTTATTTTCCTTCTAGCCCTCAATAGTAACTTGTAACAACCTGAAATATTAGTAGATTTTTCAAATAATAGAAGTGCTAATATATCGCTGCCAATGCAATTACTCTTATCATTGAATATTTATCAAGAATCGAATGATATATAAAAGAATTATGGTTGCTCAATTAAGATGTCATAATAAATAATGTTGATAATGATAGCGTAGCGATAAAGATATCACTGACAATAATATAAAGTGAACATCAACAAATCAGGTTTCTTTTTACTCTACTTTATTATTACAAGAATTTGAATCAACTAGCTATTAAAGCAGCTTCAAGTACTACTAATGCGAACACTGATAATGTGATTAATTACAAATAGTACCCACCATCAAAAATCAAAAAACTATCAAAAGTCCTTTTAAACATTAAAAAATACTCATCACACAACAATGTATCTATATATATATATACAGAAAAAACAACTTCAAAATGATGGAAAAAAAGTATTACATGTTATATGATTAATGAATCTTAAGTAAAGAATTCAAAATTCTAGGAGTTCCCAATAATACAAATAAGAATGCTATTGAAAGCAGCATCTAACGTTTGCTACACAGATGTCCCTTTTTTATTACAGATAATAGTTATAAATATCAATCTGAAAACACAATGACTGTATATTTTATGGTAAAGGATAAATATGCTAGACAATTATTAAAAAATGTTTAGTCCATTAATATAGAAAACTACATATATCATTTTGGTTTAATATATTTTAAAACTAGTAATTTTAATAATAGAAAAAATTATAAAGATAAATTCATTAGCTTCAATAACAAATATATAGCAGCAAAGGTGATGGAAATAACATTTCTATTCAATCTAAAGAGTGCTTTTAAACAAAATCCAGACAAGATAATCATCAAATTTTAAAATGAGATAAATCTCTTTAATATTTGTAAGAAACATTACCATTTCAATAATTTTAATATTAAAGGTTATCCAATTGGGTATAATTGGCTACAAAAAAATTAAGCTATCAGCAAATTAAAAAAAAACATAAAATGCTAATATCTATCATTAGTCATATACTCAATTAACACCAGATGTTACCAATATGTACAACACTAATATGATTCGTTATTTCAATGAAGTAGGATATCACATATGATATAAATATCCAACTTCTTGATTTACTTATTTTGTAAAACTGAAATAATAACTGTAAGTATTACCATTAATGATTTCTGTAAAATCATCTTTAAATTTATTAATATGATGGGGTAACCCATCAAAATTAATTATAAAGGAGTATTTATTTGTGATATTACTTGATTATATTATATGTGATATTTCACTTACCCTAGATTATAGTACTACATGTAATTTAAATATCATATATAATCTGAATACCATATGTAATCTAAATATCATATATAATCTGAATGCTACATATAATCTAAATATCTAAATTTCACATATAATTTAAATATTGCATATAATCTATAAAATATAATCTAACTACTACAATAACTACAGTGCCCACCAATAAGTCACCGGTCACCTTTAAATTCGTACAACTATTGCGCAAATATGATCATATATAAACTTTTTTTTTTAATAATAAAACAACTTTTTATCGTATAATTAAAGTTAATCATCAAGTTGAATTACATTTACTCTAAAAATTATATGTAATTTTAATAAGAATTGGCCATTATATTCTAAATTTTATTAGAAAATTTAAGATTTCAATAGAGGTTTTTAGGTATTAATAAAAAATTAAAAAATTTGTTCATCGATACTTTAATTTTTTAATAAAATTGTTTGCTATAATTTATGGCATATTATTGTTAAAGTATCATCAAAATTAATGAAATGATTAGAAAATTGTGCACATTTAGCTGGCATTTGCCGATCATTTGTAGATCATCACCAAATTATTTACCAAATTTTAGCGTTAACTAATGCATTGAATTTGGCCAAATTTTTTTTCCAAAAATATTTGAAGTTACAGCTATTTATCTTAAATTTTTTTATCATAATAAAATTCAAGATTATAATTTACTCTTTAACTTGATAATTTATTAATAATAGGTAAGTGTAAAATATGTTTGTAAAATATATGTAACTTATCAATTATTTTATTGATTTTAATAATACTTTATAATAATGTACTAAAAATCATGGTAGACGATATTATTCAAAAAAAAAACTATGATAAAACAAATTATTTTAATGCTATGATAATACCTAAAGATTTCTATTGAAATCTTAAATTTTCTGATAAAATTTAAAATATAATGGCCAATTCTTATTAAAATTACAAATAATTTTTAGAGTAAATGTAATTCAACTTGATGACCAACTTTACTTATACGATAAAAGGCAGGTTCATTATTTAAAAAAAAAGTTTACATATAACCATATTTGCGCAATAGTTATACAAATTTAAAGGTGACCGGTGACTTATTGAAGGGCACTGTACATATGATTTAAAAAATATAATCTAAATAATGCATATAATCTATCAATTTCTTATTTTGGGTATTTTTTTTTACATTCTAACAATACCTTTAAGTCTTTTCTATTATTTATGTTTTTATGTTAATATGATTTTATTATCACAATATAATTTAAATATCACATACACATATAATCTAAATAGTAAATACCACACTTTTCTTCTTGTTTCTGAGTCATTTACATAGCAAATTTTATATTTGGTTTGTTAACCTTCTGTAACTGTTTAGATACTTGGTTTATATTAAGGATGCTGACTTCTTGCATCTGACTGAATGCTAGATTTCATATTAAAATGCTTACCTTTTGCGTCTATTTGATTGCTGTTAATCATGTCAGATAGCATACTAGTAGATCTGTGATTAATTTCAGCTGACACTATACTATAATTTTAGCTGATTTTTTGGATATGTGATTTGAGAATCTAGCTTGACATTATAATAATATTATGGCAGTATCATGAAATTATTGTGAAACTGGTAGGGAACTGTCATGAAACTGTCATGAAACTGTCAGAATATCAGAGAGG